AGCAAACAAAGCACATCGTATGAATGAGCTTTTGAAATACATTTAGGTGTGAATGAGTGTAAATCTTGATTTTTTTGGGAACTATATATACATGTTTTTCTATGTTATGTTGATTGAGAGGACTGGCGACGACACTAGATTTCGCCGGGGGTAAATAAATGTCGCCAACATTTGGCGGTGACAGTTGTTAAGAAATCGATTTTGTGTTTTTCTTTAAAATTGGGATAAACAGGGGGCAATTTCGTGTATGAATCCTATGATGTTGATATATTTTCTCCTTTTCTGTATAGAAGGGGCTTCGGCCCTTACGACCCAAATAAATTTTCCACTCTCAGTATTTTACGTCACATGCTAGGTCATTTGAGTTTATAAAAGAAAATATTTCGGGGCGAGATGTAGTATCATTGTACGTTTCATGTTTGTTGTATGTAGATAATACCACTGTGTCATTCAACTATTCCTCGCGTCTGTACGATAGCATTGTATATCCTTTAATATTTTCAATTTTCCTATATAAGGAGCGGTAGATAAAATACATTACACAAATTCGGAGTATTTTCAATACAAAACATTTGTGTTGTATATTGAAGTAATTAATGATATTTACACTAGAAATAAGCTGGTGATGCTGGCTGCACTTAATAAGATTGAGGCAACTTGTGACTGAAGGCAGAATGCTTGAAAATGCCAGAAATGGTTGATCACAAACTATACACAGCCGTCGTGGATGAGGCACGAGCGAGTCTACAGCGCTAATTTAAATATACTTCTTATCAATTTTGAATATTATCTTCGTAATCTAACAAATTAAAAAAAAATATTACATTTATTGTAACAAATTACAAGCAATAACTTTATTTTATTTGTTTGTAAAACAAATTAATTAGTTAATATTTTAGTAAATTACTAAAAAAATTATTTCAGCAATGTTGAAATTGGTGAAAAACATAAATATCAATATTACGTAACACTTAATTCATACCCCCTTACCCCTATGTAATGCAGCCTCAGACCCCTCCTCTTTAGCGTTACGTCATTTATGGACGACCCCTAATATGTAGCCTACCAAATAAAACAAGTGCCCTGTTCAGAGCCTCCTGCGGATTAGCCAGCCCCTGACCAATCAGAGCCCGCGATAGTGCTTAGCAATAAAAACAGCAACGTTTGGTAGTCAGCCCATCGTAAAATTCCGATCAACTGAAATGAGTTTCCTTTAATCAACATTGCACATTGTTAAGGCTTTAGAATAGTTTGGAGCGCAGATAGATGTAATTTGCGCCGCAGCTTGAAGAACCTTCAAGCTTCAAGCTCCAGGGACAATCTTGGTTCCTGGAATATAACAATTATGTTGTCAACACATGTAAGCGGTAGAATGTTTACAGTGTTTGAAGAACAATATCACATGGTTCCTACTTGGCGTTACATTCAAGGACTTTCATTAAATCATCGCGTGGTTCTCGTCGGCTGGTATCTTCTACATTCGTGTTTGACGAGCAGGCAATCGACATAGCATTCACAGACATACATTGGCGAAAATATCAATAATGCACTGATTTTGAATGGCAATTCGACATTTCGCGAACAATTCTCCGCCCAGTGTACAAATAATATAGCGATCAATAACTGCTTTTGGCTCGCGTTTCAACAAAGCTTGTTACATTTATATTTAATACTTGTAAGTATCGGAGAAAATATATAAAAACATACTATACGGTAACTAATATCCACGCTATATTTCTTGGCCGATGTATTCAAGAAGTTCGAGAATAGTGGGGGTATTAGTTACGAAGTCGTTCACGAGAGTTTTTGACCCAATGCGACGGGTAGACAAATTAGTCAAACATCCTACTGGCGCGGCCATATCGGGAAATAATTCAACTCTATGATTTATGCTCTATATATTCAGAACATTTTCATTGTAGCTTAACTGGCCTTTGCTCTCAGTTCATCTTGTTTAGAAATGTTCTATTCTAGATTCGCATTTTCATTTGTCCCTCATATTTTGTAACACATCACTGGTTGATTTCTTGACTTGGGAAACCCACTGACTTGGTTTGCCTGAAGTGACGAAAGTTGCTATATTGTAATAAGTAGGAGGCGGATTTTAATGAAAGGTTTTTTCTTTTCACTTTAGAACAATGTCCTTTAGTATTGAAATTCATTTTATGTTATGACAAAACGAAATGACCCATTTTTATACTTTTTTTCTCTATTTATTTTTCGTCGATTTTGACTAATAAGTATTTACGCCAATTTTACTGCAAGTTTCACTGATTTCATCGTTTAATATACTTTTAATGGCACTTGGTTCAAATAATATTTACGAGGTGCAACGAGTCTTCATCATAGAATCCCTCAGTAGCCTATTCGATTTCTTCCCTCATTCATAGTAATGTCAGCTACGTGATCTAAGGTTCTTGTGACGCTTATAGGGGCCATTGTTAGTTCGGTCAATTTCGCGATAAATTAAGGCTAAAATTTTCTTTTAAAGAACAGCCCAAACCCAAAGTTTGCCAGCTCAGTTCATTTGCCCCAAAGGAAAAACCCTTGATTACATCGGTAATATATCTAACAACTTGAGTTGTTCATCTGAAGTGCTTTTAATCAATTTTTACGCCATTATTTTTTAGGACATTTTAAAAGCATTTTACTGAACACTTTTGGCAATATTTTAGATCATCAAAATTCGCCCTCCCACCGGAGTAATAAGTTTTGTATCAACTGTGTCATTCTAAATAATAACCATCAAGACAAACATTTTTAATTACTTAAAATATTATAAACTTTCATTCACACGCATCGTTTAGACGCTACTGTTGTTCACGTACACCAAACGGGCGGACGTATGGATCCTGCGTGGGCTATCATTCCGTGCATACACTTGCTCTGCCAGTCCCCAGAGTGGGCACATATGGCTTTTTGCCTTTATCCGCACCTCTGCTGGGGCAGAAGTACGTGGACAGGGCAGTATCCGGATCCCGCCGAAACTCAAAGAGTCCAGGTGGTCGTCTACAATTCTTACACACACTTTCTTTTAGTTAAGTTTTCTAATTTTCTTAGTATGGGCTAGCTTCATGCTCCATCTTGCAGGCTGTCATCTATCGCCGCCCTTAATACACTTTTTAAGTTTTCTCAATTTTTCGGTTTCCTATTGGTACATTCGAAATATTACTTTTAGAATATTAACGAAAAGTAAAACCTCGTCAATTATGGCAATTTTCATTGATAAATTTGAAGCACTTTTTAAGAAAATGGCGTTCAAGCGTTACTGTAAATGCGAAATTTGAAGCTCTCTTACACTGGAATTTATCGAGTTTTTGAGAAACTTCACTGGAAATCATTTAAAGTTCATCCACTCAGAAATGCAATAATGTGTACAAATTGCTGGAAATGTAGTTATTAAAGGCCTGAGAGATATTTAAAAAAATATATTTGTGTATTTAATTATAAATTAATTTTGTCAACTTCAACAGTAAAATTGACACTTTGTACGAAAAGTTTGAGGAAAAAATTGGAATTGTTTTTGAGAAAATGGCGTTTGAACGTTTCTGAAAATGCTGAAATTGGAGCTCGTTTTCACGAAGAACTTTTGGGGTTTCGAGAAACTTTATATGACATCATTTCAAGAACATGTGCTCATAAACGCAATAATGTGAATAAATCGCCGCTAATGTAAATATTAACATTGTGGGAGGCAAGCTAAAATATTGCATTTTTGTCATTTTTCAAAAAAAGAAATAATAGAACATAATGACATTTATGTCATCTCATGCAGTGCATTTAGCACCATCCCTACCAAAAGTTTAAAGAAAAAATTTGCAGCCGTTTTTGAGAAGCCGTTGTTCTTTTTATTTTTTTAAAAATTGCACAAATTGCACGCAATATTGCGGGAAAACTACTAAACTATATTTAAAAAAATGTGCATTACCTTCATAAAAGAACAAATAATGAACAAATTTTATTTGAAGAAAAAAAGTATCTTCAATAATGTAGTTGTAGGCCGGTGAGATAGCCGAGATCGTTAGGGCAGTATTGCCGTAGTGGTTATGGACCAGAAGACCACGGGTTCGAGATCCACCTCGGGCATGGGTGTATTTGTGTACGTCGATATGGGTGTGCCGTCCTTTCATCCCTCACTATCTTCATCATCTCATCATCCATACCCCCAGGGCTAACAACCTTGGGAGGGAGGAGGAGGAAATCGAGATTCAGTTAAAATGCCCCCCCCACACACACACACACACCGCCACCACGCACACACCCAAACCATCAACCTACCACCAAAAAAGTACTTGAAATATCGAAATCAACTTTCTGCATGTATGCATATGTGAAAGGAGGGAAAGAAAAGGGAAAAGAAAAGAAAAGAAAAGAAGATTAGAGCACTTTGGGGGAAAATTTTGAAAATGCGTCAAGGACTTCATGTTAAGTATCTTCAAAATTTAAAGATTTTTTTCAAATTCGCAGCTCTTCAAATTGAGCCAAAAATTCTGCAAATAGTTCACACACAGACATACGGCCTATTGTTTTGGGGGAAAAAATCTCTTTTTCGGATTTATGGAACCCCAAAAAGTGTATTTCTTGTGAAACAGCAAAATCTATTTTTCACAGCATTCCATAACTTTCTCTATATTACATATATATTTTCCATATATATGTACATATATGACTACAGAGTATTTGAATGCTGAATTGTTACATTGGATGTTATACTGCAGTGACTTTTGAGGAGATATAAAATTATATTTTCTGACCTGAAGTAAAAAAGGGATTATCTCAGCTTTCGTTCTCGTGATCAATGGGGAAATCGATAAAAAACATGATCAAAATGTGGTACTTACATTGTCTCCAGGTGAAAGATCAGCCAGTTGTCGCACAATAATGTCTATTAGAACTTTGGTATCATTTGTATAGAAGAGTGTGGCTGTTCTATCATTACTAAATAAGTCAATAAATAATTTCAAGACAGAATGGGGTGGAGCAGGCTTGTGTTCAAATACTCGTACAGGATCCTCTGAAAGAAAACAACACTTCAAAAGTACACACTGAAATATATTTCAAATAAATTTGGAGATTGCAATGAAGAATTATTGAAAAATTAAAAAAAGTAATAAATAAATAAATTGTACAGTCAATTCAATCAACACACTAGAGTAATGTGAAACTACTCATGTCATGCATTGACAAAAAGCAACACAAAAAAATCAATTCCAGAAGAAAAACTTACAAAATTAGAAAAAAATGTCAAGAAATGATATAGATGAGTGTTGTACTAAGAGTAATGCCTTTAACCCTCCACTGCAGCTCTCATGTATTGGCACATGTAGTACTTAGCACAGGACCTTTGCTGTTAATATTTATTTTTAATTTTATTATCATTTTTAACAATCTGACTACATTTTGTATTGAAAATTTACAATTTCTTTCAGAAACTAAATTAAGGACATGATCAAAGGAGTAAAACGGTACTGATCTAAGAACACGTCTCATCTACTTCCAACTTCTTTTTCAGCAAATATTTGTTAATTAAGGTATTGTTATTAGAATACCTTGTCTTATTATTTTGATTTATTATCTTGCCTTGAAAGATTAAGAGATCCATGATAAATAAATATTCATAAGAAATATGAAACTGAACATACAACAAAAATGAATGAAATTCAAGGTGTGGTAATAAGTTTTACTGAATGCACAAGTCTCTCTAAAGCAAGCATTGTCTAACAACAATTTGCACTTTCACTGACCTCAGGAGCTGTGCACGAGAAACTCTGGTGCAAATGCAAAAATCGATTAATGAGATTCATTCTTGGAGTGGGGACCACCAATTAGAATGCACAAATTGAACCGTAGCATGTAACTTGAAAGGGCAATCGACAAGAACATGACAGTCACATACGGTTCAAGTATTATTGCAAATTCTTGTTGTTAAGGTATGACAGTGTGAAATATGAAACTGCAATGAATTGTACATATCTGGCTTGGACACAAAGTATAATATTAGCTTGTAGGGTTGATAACATAATATGCTTTGCTACAATGTAATCACAAATTTGTTTTGCTAGACACAAAAATTATACTGAATTGTTTCTGTTGGAAGGTGACAGCAGTTAACTATTTTTGGAGTACTTGTGGAGTTGTTTCAGAAGAATTTTATTTTATCTTTTTTTGTCTATTTTAAGTTCTGATGCCTATTTTTATTACTTTGCTCTTTTTTCTCAGGCACGGACCTCAATCAAGCAAACAACATACCAGCTAAGCTGCACATCACAATGGCACTGTCACATTTTGTGTTTTACTACAATCAGAGGTTTTTGAGGTAAGAATCTAAAAATCTAAATGACAAGACTTCAATTTCTTCTATTGATGTCAATAAGCTTTGGTTGTTCATGTGGTATCCCATCCTACCTTTGAGTATGCTCTACCAACTCTTTCATGGACAGAACTCAGTACACGATAAAAAATGTGGCCCTTCTCAGTTTTCTCAGTGACGGCAAAAAACACATGAACAAAGAACAAAAACAATTTCGTATTTTCACTCGTACCAGGACTCAAGAGAGAGTCCAACATAGCATGTCATAGAGACGGTGTCATGGATGAAACAAATTCTAAGTCATTTTACAGAAATTTTGTGCGTCACTAAGAATAATTTCCAGTTGTGTTTCAGTTCAGTTCTGGTGGTCATAAGCTATCACAAGAGGAAAAAATTATTTCCTCCTGTGCAAGTTCTAATGTAAATATTAGTTAGAATAAAAATATGAATACATTTTTACAACTATTCCTTTTTATTGTTTACACATCATTTCACACCCTTATTTTAGCCAGAATAAGTTCCTTCAAACAAGCTTTCTAATTTATCGCCCTTACTAATGTAAGAAAAGAAAGTATTGCAATTGTGCACCAAAAAAGGTAAATTTTCAACCCAAAAACTCTTATTGCCAGGTCCTGGGAACGAAAATCACCTGGTCGCTAAGTATAGAAAAAATTCTCTAACATGAGGTGTAGCCAGATTCCGTTTTCTGCACCGATCTGATTTCTCAAAAATTGCAATTGAAAGTTTTATATTCCTGTAATACTCGTTATAGATTGTACCAAACATTTACCTTCTAGCGTACAGTAACTGAACTAATTCAAAATCAACTTCAGAATAATAGCAGTACCTCTCGGTAACCTCTTATCAGGGTTCAGCTGAAAAATAATGATTTCACACTTGTGTCACTTTTCTTTTGGAGGTGCGATATGCCTTCAGAGAGGTGAGAAGACATAATCTGAAGGCACCAAGTCAAGGAATACAGGGGCTTGTTCAAAAATATTCAACCAAATGAGCTTAAGAGCACCTTGGTGGCTAAGGCTGTGTGAGAACGGGCATAGTCTTGCAACAAGCACGCTTCTCTCATCAGATCCTTCCCTTTCCTACACTTTCCTTCCTTTGTTTAGAATGCTTCTTTAGAGCTTTTTAGCGATGTATCACTATATCGTTGAGCATTAGTGGTCTCTCCGAGACAAAAATTCGAAAATTACGATGCTTTTTCAGTCTCAAAAATAAGGCATTGATATTTAAAGAAATTATTTAATTACATGGAAAGACCCATAAGCTGATGTATACATGTTTTATACAAAATTGTTGACATTTAATAATGTACAGTGCATTTAAAAACTTAATTGGCTTGATAATAATTGCCTTAGAAAGGATTTGAAAGGCACACTAGTTTTAACAATAAAATCCAGTGGGAGAGCATTCCATTTTGTTCACAAACCAATTTGTGATGATATGCATTCTTGGTCTAGTTCATCTTCTCCATCAGCTTTGCCAAATATCCTCGTAGACTAGGATACATAGCTAGATTAAATATTGTGTTTAAGCAGGGGATATCGTATTTCTATTTAATATTTTGTAATTTTCAATGAAGTCTCTTCTTTCTCTTCTCTTCCCAAAGGTTAACATATCAAATTTCTTACATCTCTCATCATATTATAGATTTTTTAATAGAAATTTGAATTTTAGCTGCCACCCTCTGTATTCTTTCTGAGTTTTTCTTCTTTTTCTCAGAATATGATAACCACACTACCCTCGCATATTCTATTATCGGTCTTATAAATGTACAGAGAATCTTTTTAACTGCTGATGAGTTGAAGTTTGAGAATGTCATCTTCATCAGGTACAGAATAGTGTTTGCTTTCTTTGTTACACTGTTAACTGCCTTTCTCATTTAAGATTTTGTGTTATAATCTCACCCAAATTATTTTGTTGGCAGGTCTCCACCAAACCCCTATTCATGAAATACGGAATTTTTGAATTATTTTTTCCAAGATATGGTGTTAGACAGGGTTTAAAGGGAGCCAGTTTCAGACCAGTTTATAATGGTTTGAAGATCTTATTGCAACTCAGCATTCAATGTCACGGGATTGGAAATGAATTTGGTATGGTATGCAAGGCAGTTCCAAGCCAAAGACAACTTTTTTCCAAAGTTACTGGTGTATATTATGAACAGTAGAGGTCCTAGGACAACACCTTGACATGCTACACTAGAAACTACTCTAGATGGTAATTAAGTGTTGTCCAATCCTGACTTGGAAAGTTTCATTTGACAAAAATTCTCTTATCTACCTTTGAATTTTTTTAGTATTCCCAAGGAAGTTGTGTAACAAGTACCTATGTGTCACCTTATCGACAGCCTTAGCATAACCCACCTATAACATAAGGTGGCCAAGGTCAGCTTTTGTCCAAACTACCAATGATGAGAGTCAGTTGGTGACATTGGACCATTTTGGTTCAAAGTCATGCTGTTCCTTCTGTTTCATGTTGTTCAATTTGGCATGGTTTCAAATCCTCACAGCAATTATGGTTTCCATTGCCTTACATACCATACTGATGAGACTTATGGGCCTGTAGTTTCTACGGGTTGGTTTGTCTCCCTTCTCAAAAATCGGAATGATATAAGCCCTTTTCCAGATATTAGATATTGTTTGGGTATCTAGAGATTGTTTGAAGATTAAGTTTATCCAAGGGGCTAACAATTGTTTAAGAAAATCCCTTCAGGAGCCAAAGCGGCATCAGTTTTTAGAACATATAAAATATGAGTAATTTCAACATTGTTGAAGGAAATATCTTTGAGAGTTTCATTGTACCTTTTTTTAGTTAATGGTTGTTGGTTCATAGGTTCAGTAGAATAAACTTCAACGTCATCTATGAAAGATTCTCCAATTTCATGTAAAATCAGTGCAAATGAGTCCATTAATCAGTAGGTTGTGTGGTGGTCAAGATTTACATGCTGTTTGTTTTCTAATACACGAGTAGAATTGTTTCCTGCCAGTTTATACCACTTGTCCTTAAAAGGCTTTGCTCTGTTTATGCAAGTCAGAAATGAGTCTATTTGAAATATCTCTATAGACTAAATAGAACTCTTCCAAACTCTTATACTTACACCTGGTCCTGCATAATACTTACACATGTATTATTTGTCTTTTCACCTCGTGATTGATCCAAGGTTTATCCTGATTTTTTATCATTTTGCTCTTTGGCTAGAAAGTTTCAAGAAGTTGGCGAGCCACATCACTAAAATCCTGATAATTTGTTCCAACATCTTGGTTCCTTGTCTGATAATTTTTCAAGCAACCAAGCAGATGATGAAAGATATTTGTTCAAATGTCTTTATTTCACCATAATTCGCTGCAAAGAAATCGTCTCTCAGGAGTGTCATTGGAAGGTGGTCTGTTATAGTTGAATTCCATCTACAAAGTAGTGGTAATAACCAGGTAGTCACTTCCACCAATGTGTGGTTTTAGAATTGGGGTAGTAATGAGATTGATGTCATTTGTGAAGATTAAATGCAAAATTGCAGGTATTTTGTTTACCTCTATATGTTGTGGGTTTAAGTACTGTCTGGACAAGGAACCAAGATGTTGAATTAATTTAGTACTGGAAGAATTGTTTCTTAACTTCTGTACCCAGAGAAGCTCCAACATTTTTCCAGGAGATTGATGGATAATTAAATCCACCAAAAATTATGATGGGCTCATGAAGTTTACTACCCTCACTCATTTTTTCAAAAAGTATGTTGTCTGATCACACAGGTTTTGTTCCAATGTAGGTGGTCTACACACACCTGCAATTACAAGAATGACATTTCTAATTTTCAAGTTTAACCACAGCAAACAATATCATACTCCTATACAGAGAAAGAGTTGAACAAACTCAAGGGAATGGATTGACACCCAAAACCCAATCCAAAGATTTTATTTATAAAGATATTTTATAGAGCGAAAACCTTCCAATTGCCCTGGCAGGGGGAAACGAAAAAATGCAGAACAAGCTTGAATTGGATCCAAAACCAACATTTCACCAATAATTTCATCTTCCCCCAAAGATGATGAATTTTTACTGAAGTGGATGCTGCAACCAATATCATTTATTAATCTTGGCTGAAGCCGACATTCCTTAATTCTATCATTCCAGAATACCAATATGCCATACTTTGTTAAAGACAACTAAACAACCATGAGTGTATCTATTTATGTTAGATTCATAAATTCAATCGCAGTGAATGCACCGAAAAGTCAAACTCTCAAATTCCCTTGTAAAGCATTTGAT